GCAACAAAGGACGCAAGGTGGCAAGGAGCTGCCTCATCCTAGCAACAAAGGACGCAAGGTGGCAAGGAGCTGCCTCATCCTAGCAACAAAGGACGCAAAGTGGCAAGGAGCTGCCTCATTCTAGCATCACAGGATGCAAGGTGGCAAGGAGCTGCCTCATTCTAGCATCACAGGACGCAAGGTGGCAAGGAGCTGCCTCATCCTAGCAATAAAAGGACCCCAGGTGGCAAGGAGCTGCCTCATCCTAGCAACAAAGGACAAAAAGGTGGCAAGGAGCTGCCTCATCTTAGCATCAAAGGACGCTAGGTGGCAAGGAGTTGCCTCATCCTAGCAACAAAGGACAAAAGGTGGCAAGGAGCTGCCTCATCTTAGCATCAAAGGACGCTAGGTGGCAAGGAGTTGCCTCATCCTAGCAACAAAAGACGCCAGGTGGCAAGGAGCTGCCTCATCCTAGCAACAAAGGACGTAGGTGGCAAAGAGCTGCCTCATTCTAGCATCACAGGACGCAAGGTGGCAAGGAGCTGCCTCATCCTAGCAACAAAAGACGCAAGGTGGTAAGGAGCTGCCTCATCCTAGCAACAAAGGAGACAAGGTGGCAAGGAGCTGCCTCATCCTAGCAACAAAGGACAAAAGGTGGCAAGGAGCTGCCTCATCTTAGCAACAAAGGACGCAAGGTGGCAAGGAGCTGCCTCATCCTAGCAACAAAGGACGCTAGGTGGCAAGGAGCTGCCTCATCCTAGCAACAAAGGACGCTAGGTGGCAAGGAGCTGCCTCATCCTAGCAACAAAGGACGCTAGGTGGCAAGGAGCTGCCTCATCCTAGCAACAAAGGACGCTAGGTGGCAAGGAGCTGCCTCATCCTAGCAACAAAGGACGCTAGGTGGCAAGGAGCTGCCTCATCCTAGCAACAAAGGACGCTAGGTGGCAAGGAGCTGCCTCATCCTAGCAACAAAGGACGCTAGGTGGCAAGGAGCTGCCTCATCCTAGCAACAAAGGACGCTAGGTGGCAAGGAGCTGCCTCATCCTAGCAACAAAGGACGCTAGGTGGCAAGGAGCTGCCTCATCCTAGCAACAAAGGACGCTAGGTGGCAAGGAGCTGCCTCATCCTAGCAACAAAGGACGCTAGGTGGCAAGGAGCTGCCTCATCCTAGCAACAAAGGACGCTAGGTGGCAAGGAGCTGCCTCATCCTAGCAACAAAGGACGCTAGGTGGCAAGGAGCTGCCTCATCCTAGCAACAAAGGACGCTAGGTGGCAAGGAGCTGCCTCATCCTAGCAACAAAGGACGCTAGGTGGCAAGGAGCTGCCTCATCCTAGCAACAAAGGACGCTAGGTGGCAAGGAGCTGCCTCATCCTAGCAACAAAGGACGCTAGGTGGCAAGGAGCTGCCTCATCCTAGCAACAAAGGACGCTAGGTGGCAAGGAGCTGCCTCATCCTAGCAACAAAGGACGCTAGGTGGCAAGGAGCTGCCTCATCCTAGCAACAAAGGACGCTAGGTGGCAAGGAGCTGCCTCATCCTAGCAACAAAGGACGCTAGGTGGCAAGGAGCTGCCTCATCCTAGCAACAAAGGACGCTAGGTGGCAAGGAGCTGCCTCATCCTAGCAACAAAAGACGCAAGGTGGTAAGGAGCTGCCTCATCCTAGCAACAAAGGACGTAGGTGGCAAGGAGCTGCACAAAGGTTTACATGCGTACAACATAAAATATGGTTCATACACAGACACAGGTTTTTTTTATTTTAATTTTACAGATCTAACCACAGCGCAAGTTTACTGATCAGCTGTGTGCACAGGCCCATAGAAAACATTATACCCGAGTTCAGGATGGTAAATAAAAATGCTGTACTGACTAAAAACACATTTTTTACAGCTGCATGCATGAGCCCTTATAGAAATTGTCAATGCTGTTTTCAGGTCCTGTCAAAGCGCAAACTGGCAATGCCAGCCACATGACTCAAGCTCTGAATTTGGCAGCTCTTATTTACGTACTGAAAGTAGGAACAACAACACGCCTTCCCAAGTGAGACGTGACACTTGTGCAATGTTTTCATACCAAACTCACATAAAACACTTCCTTGAAAAACTGCACAAATACAGCAAACTACTTCTACATACAATACAATACAATAATTATTTAATGGGAGAGACAAGAGGCTGCCTTCACTGACCTCCCTGGGAAACTGCTAGTTGCCTGGCTGTCATGCTGACCCTCTGTCTGCAATACATTTAGTCTCTGGACCAGAACAGGTATGCAGATCCATAAAAGCAAAATCTGGTTTACTTATAAGAGGTCAGTGGCTCAAAGTATTGGAGGACAGTCAAGTGTTAACAAGCATTTCCAGAAGAAGTGGTCAGTGACAGCTGTCTGCTTGTTATGACAGGTTACCTATAAACATGTAAAACGTTGAATTGCCATAATGTGCATCTTTATGACTATAGAGACGACAGATTGGAAAGCAGAGGGACACCCTGGTCTCATCACGTAGAAAACAATACCGGATAAAAAACAACACGGCTGATTGCCGTTTTCCAGAGATCAGTCAGCCAGGGATGTAAACACTTGCAGTAAACAGTTCTCTTCCAGAAGAAGGGACCCTGCGTGGCCCTGAAACGTTGGCTGTTTGACGCATGTGACGATGCAATAAAAAGTGCTTTACTTCTTGCACATATCATGGAGTGCTGGTGACTTCTATTATGGACTGTATCTGACACGGCACCATCCGTGTTGTCACTTCAAGCACCAATCTCTCATACAAGGTCTGTACGCTGTATGGAGTGCAGGTGATTTCGTATTATCTATGACTATAGAGATGCCAGATTGGAAAGCAGAGGGACACCCTGGTCTCATCACATAGAAAACAATAGCGGATGAAAAACAACACGGCTGATTGCTGTTTTCCAGAGATCAGTCAGCCAGGGATGTAAACACTTGCAGTAAACAGTACGCTACCGTCAATGTACAAAGCAGACACTTTACAGACAAACAGAACTCGGGAGTCTTTTGTTTCTCTCAGATTCGCTGCAGCCCATTTATAAATTTCCGCACAAAAGTCGAGCCGTAGTTCACGGCAACAAGGATTACCTCGTATTCCCATTTCAAGCTCACCGGCTGCTATAGACAGCAGCTCCATTTTTTTATTTGCCACTTAAAAAGTATCTATAGACATTTTTTTCTAGGTTTGGATGGAGTGAGGAAGGATTGGAACCCTTGGCAGGTTTTACTGCTATCCAGGGCTTGGTAAGGCCCCTTTCACGCCGGCAGTCCGTTTGGGTCCGCCGGTCAGTTTTACAGACAAACCCGATCGGATGGCCAATGGAAGCCTATGGGCGTCCGTTTACACCCAAATCTGGCCAGGTCCGGCAAAACTGATCTCTGGACCTACCCCCAATCTGATGTAAACACACACGTCTGATTCCCCATAGACAGACATTGCAGTTTTTTCCTCAATCGCAAGAAAAACGGTACAAATATCGATGTCAACGGTGATGTTCACTCTGTACTGCTGTTAACAGGAGAGAGATCCTCTCTGCTCAGCCCATGTGAAAGGGGCCTTAGAGAGATTTCCCCTCACTTTCTTTTTTACCAGAGAGGAAGTGAGGGTAACTCCAACAGCAGCACAGACAAGTAGTTTGTCGCAGTCCAAACGCTTTTTTTTCTTCTCCTTTTAAGTTGAGTAGAGGAAGGTCAGAACCTCTGTCAGCGGTTTATTATCCGTTCACTGTCCACTTCTTGGGTCAACAGGACAGGAAGTGAGGGGAAGTCTATCAAATGAAAACATTACGTCACAAACACACGAGAGAGATCCACAGGAAGGGGGAAGCCTCTGTGTCACAGGAGCCAAAATGGTTATGTAGTTTCACCAACATACTGAAACATGAATAGGTAGCGCAAGCTTGGATAGCCTGTCAGTCTCCAAAGCATGCTGAGAGTTGGACCTCCACACAGTACCCAAGCTTGGCATGGAGTATTTTACAGACTGCTATAAATCGTCCTCAAAGGCGGCAGTGGGGTGAATGAAGAGGTACCATTTCAACCTGTCTGGAAGGGGAAGAGCTTTCACCTTGACATCTACAGGCCACAGCCTGAGCCTCTGGCGAATGAGGAACCCTTGTCAGGTTTTACTGCTATCCAGGGCTCTGTGAGAGTAATTTCTCCTCACTTCCTGTTTTTCGCCAGACAGAAATTGAGGGTAACTCTCCAACAGCTACACAGACAGCAGTACAAACGTTTTTTGTTTTTAAGTCAAGTAGGGGAAGGTTAAGCTGGCCATACAACAACAGAACTTCGCACAGTGTGTGCCGCTGTCGGCTCCCTTTTGGCTGGAATCCCTCGATCAGCTGATCAAAGGAGGCAGCGGGAAAGTCTTCGAAAGAACAGAGCTGGCGGCCAATGAGTTGCTGGCTCTGTTAGGGTATTCTGACAGTGGTCAGCGGCCACCGTCTGAATGTAATGCAGCCCACGGGTTGAACAAAGAAAATATTATGGTGTATGGCCAGCTTTGAAACCCCTGTCAGCGGTTTATTGTTATCTGTTAGATTTTTCTCCACTTCCTGTGTCAGCAGGACAGGAAATGAGGGGGAAATCTCTCATATGGAGCCTCAGATATCAGTAAGCCTGGGTTCACACCTGTGTAATACAACATTGCATGTGCGCTGAAGCACATTTTTACATGCGTTAACCTACGCTGTGGTAGAGCAGCCCATTTTTATAAATGAATGGCCATCTAAACCGTACCAAAGAAGTAAATGGCCATTTTTATTGAAATCGCATCACACAATGTTAATAGGTTGCCATGCGTTTTGATGCAATGCACGTGTGATGGTTCAGTGCGTTGGAGTGCCATTAAGAAATAACGGCAGCACAGCGCACCAAACATTGTCGCACGGGTTCCCGTGTCTCATAGGTGTGAATGGGGCTCAAATCTGGCAGGAGTTCTAATCCTTCCCAGACTAGAAGAAAAACATTTTGGTTCTAGATATCCCTTATATATGCCACACACTCACTTTTTTGGACTTTATCGTTCCCGCCATTGCTTGCGCTGCTTTGGTAGTTCATCATCATCATCATTAACGGCAGGGATGATGTTGGTGAAAGCCCTCCAGATCCAGGTGAGGCCGGGTCAGGGTATCCGGGAGAGGATGAGGTGGGAGACGTGCGGATGTACCCCTGGGACGCGGTCACCCCCGTGTACGCTTTGCCCTGTTTTTGCTTCCTTGCCCCTGGATAGAGGAATATGGGTGGTGGCAGCGAAGGAGACGAATCTTCGGCTTCTTCCTTTTCATCCGAGCGCAAAGGGAGGATATCCAAATCCCGCCCATGAAGAGCCATTCCTTGCGCATTTCCATTGCCATGTTGGTGGCAGTTCTTGCCTTGCTGCTCCCCCTCCATGTCACTTGATCAGTAGGATATGGATGTGTCTTAGTGCTGCTTCTAGGGGATGGTGATCTCTTGCTGCTGTCAGATATTACTGCTCCTTGACCACATTCAAACACTCAAGTCAACTATTGTTTCTGAGCATTCCTCATGTCACTGGTGTCCACTTCTAGCCCGCCATACACAGATGACAATGATCAGCAGGAGATGACAGTACAGGCTGACATCAGGGATCTCCCTCCGCCTTGATGATCCGGGCGATGAAAACAGCCCTGTGTGTACGATCCTTGTGTGCCCGGAACTCCCGCACAGCTAGAGGAGGAAGCAGACACACACCACTCTTCCTTAGCCTGCCGCTCCTCCCAGCTACACTCCCCTAAGCTGTAACCCTTCCATGTGCGGGCTGTCTATTGTCAACTCAGCCTAGCACTGCCTTCCTAGGAGCAGCTCCGTGCTCTCAGCTACCTCCTGTGCTTTCCGTTCGGTATTTTACCGCGCGGTATCCCTCACTCCATCTCACGTTTGCCGTGCCATTCATTGGGGGGAATTCATCACAACTGGAGCAAACAGAATCTGGAGCGGTTTCCCATAGTAACCAATCAGCTGTCTCTGAAATTGAAAGAAGCTAATTGGTTGCCATGGGAAACTGCTACAAATTCTGTCCCCTCATTGTTACCCCCAAACACTGCAAGCAAGACACACGTCAAAAACGTGGCAAGCTTGCAGCTCGCTCCATTCACACCTAAGCGCATTGTCGCGCGTTAATCAGCACGACAAAACGCTTGACCCCCAGTCAGTCCTATGGTCCCTGTTAACACCTAGGCGTTTTTTCGCAAGCAGAAATATGCCTGTCGCACAAAATGCTACATGAGCTACTTTGGGACAGATTCCGCGTGTTTTCTCCCCATTGGCTCAATAAAAAAAGCTTGAAAACCGTGTGTGGAATTATTCTTGAGCAGATTCAGCGCATTTTGCCCATGTTCATGAATATGCCACAATCTGCAATCTGCTCAATATGCCACAATCTCCTCGCACTCTGCTTGTAAAAACGCGCAAAAAACACTCACACAAAACACACTTAATAGGTGTCGCTTAGGTGTGAATGCGGCCGAAAGCTCGTGACACACTGCATGCGAAGACGTGCAGAGCAAAGCTGTCAGGCACGCAGGTTCGCATGCAGTGTGTCATGGGCTTTGGTTCACAAATGAGTGCAAAACACAAAAAGCAATACATTCTTATGGGGCTCATTCACATGCATGTACAACAGTACAAACGTGATTTTCTGGGTGATTTCTGCGCGTTCTGACTGTGGTTGAAAACCGCAGTCTTTTTCGCGCAAAAAAAACACGCTGAACGCAAAATGCTGTGTGAATTGGGCCTAAGGCTCCTTTTACACCAGGGCGTAACAGGGACCCGCTTCGCAGGAACAAGCATTCCTGCACGGTTTCAGGAGCTTGGTGCCCATTGATCCCCACAGGGTACCTGGCGTGCGCCACAAACAGAAAAGTAGTACATGCCACAAATTTGGACATATCGTGAACGCACATTGAAGCGCACACTTTTGTGCACGTTAGACTCATGTTCACGATATGCCATTGTGTGGCCTTTTAACTGCATGGGCTTCTTTGCCTAATTTGTCAGGCATAGGGCAACATATTAGAAGGAAGCGGGTATCCTATGCGCAACACGCCACAAGTCATGCAAGCTGAGCAGTGTGCTGTCTCTTGTGCAAAAGAAGTGAGACGCCATTCAGGAAGAACCTGCAGATGCGACCACTGTGGCCATTAGTCTCCACTCACACCTAGGCCTTTTGTCCCTTAAGGTGCGTACGACAAAACATACAAGGAATCCCATTCATTCCTATAGCTCCTGTTCAAACCTGAGCGTTTTGTCGCAAGCAGAAAAACGTCTGTCGCTGGAAAAAGCACATGAGCTACTTTTTGCCAACTTATGGCGCTTTTTGGTCCAATGGAGTTCAATGGGAAACTTTGTGCATCAAATAATGCAGCAAAATGCTCAGGCGTCAACAGGGGCCATATAAATGAATGGGATTCCTTGCCTTAAGCGTTTTGTTGAGCACAGCTTTGAGCGACGAAACGCCTTGGTGTGAACAAAGCCAAAAGGTGAATAATAGCCCAGATAGCAAGGATAACTTGCCACAAACTTGTAGCAGGGTTAAATTGTAATTGTTGTTAACTTGCTGCACACATTCCTGGCAAGTCTTAGACTTGCAGAACATTTGCAGCACACACAAGTTCTAGTTGACACTTTTTGAATCTGTAGCAAATTTGCTTGACAAGTCTACAGCAAGAGTCCTGCAGGTCTTAAGGTGGCCATACACTTTACAACCCTTGCAAGACTTTTGTCTAGGGAGGGTTGTAAAGTGATTGAAAAAACGTACGATCTGCCCATCTTGGACAGGCACATCGTACTTCCGATGACTGCAAACGGGCAGTGTGCGCGCGCGCGCGCACACCGGCCCGTTCGACAGTTGCCGAACAAGCAGGCCACTGACTCGCCGAGAATCGTACGATTCCCAGCGGGTTTTCGACAGAAGACGTGCAACCGTACAGTAGAAACGGTCGCACGCCTTCCATACACTTTGCGATTATCGTACGGTCGCGGGATTTCCAGCGATTCTCGTACGATAATCGTACAGTGTATGGGCGCCTTTAGCAAGAGCTCTGCGAGTGTACAGCACTTTCGCAAAGCACGTTGATCTAGGGACTTGCAATGCAGACTTACTGTAATTGTGCAACAAAATTGTGAAGCTTGGAAAGTCTAGCAAAAGGTTAGGAAGTAATTTTCAAACTTGCGCCTCAATTGCTTTCTACCTGGGAGGGTGACTGTGGCTGCATCTGTCTCTGTCTGTCCACATGTAATCATACATGAAATGATTACCAGTGGTTCAGTATAGATGCTTTCCCCTGGTAGCAGACAGATTGGATCCAGGGGCAATCGTCTATCCCAGGGGTAAGCAACCCTGGCCCTCCAGCTGTTGTTGAACTACAAATCCCATGAGGCATTGTAAGACTGACAGCTACAGGCATGACACCCAAGAGGCAAAGGCATGATGGGATTTGAATTAAAGCACAGCTGGAGGGCTAGAGTTGCTCGCCCTTGGTCTATACTAAACCGCAGTTAATCTTTCCATGTACAATTGCTGTTACCCTGTCATTAACTTGTGTACACACCTGGGATTCCTGCCACAAGAATCCCCAGCCTCACAAAATAGCCCATAGACTTTAGTCGCTATCATCTCCATGTTTCGGCAACATGTACAGAGACACACATTTTCACATCACTGCAGCGCACTAAATGAGTGGCACTTTGCCAGGCCCGCCGCTGTGTCATTTATTGTTAATGGCACCCCAACGCACCTTGCTGCTCAATGCGCTTTCACATGTGTGAAATCACACCAAAAGGCGCGGTACTTTGTTACCATATGTTTTGGTGCATTTTGAAAAAAAGGTGTAGGGACTTTTTGATGTGATTGTCCTGCAATAAAACCGCAAAGGAACGAATAGCTAGATCGCTATTGGCTATTGCAAATTGAAATAGCCAATAGCAGACTAGCTATTGCACCCACCCACTGCTGCTGTCAATCAGCAGAGGTGGACCTGAAGTTCTCCACCTGGTCCTCGTTTACTGACTGACAGCAGGAGAGGGCAGGTGCAATAGCCAGCTTGTTATTGGCTATTGCAAATTGAAATAGCCACTAGCAATCTAGCTATTCATTCCTATGTTTTTTTAAATTTTATTCTGACAGACGGCAGCAGCTGTCAGAATAATAGATTTTTTTATCAATTTTTTTTCCACTTAACTTTATTGCTATCACACAGGAGCTAACAATTATCTGTGTGATAGCAATTGGAGGTGGAGATCACTTGTAAACGTACACAGCTTTCCCATACACTGTATGTTCCGGGCGTTGGGGGATTCCACACCGGTGCCGCCCCTTTGCGCCCTGCATCCCCGAGGCCGGGCCTCGGTGGCCTTGTGAGGAATCTGGGCCTGCTCACAAGGCCAGAAATTTGCGATTCTGCCCCAAAGAAACTTGTGTACTTTGTTGTGTACAGGACACAACACCAGGGGCGTCCCGAGGCTGGGTGACACCCGGAGCAGTAAACGAGTGTCCCCCCTGCCGAGACGTCACTGCGCATGCGCGTGACATCACCAACAGTATTCTGATACCTGCCGGCGGCCATCTTGGTGATGGACGCCAGCAGAGAGAGGAGGGTCCCCTCCTCTCTCCTGATACTGTCGGGCGTTCGGTCCATGACCGAGCACCCGACTTTTCAGAGGGGGGTGTCACTCCTCCAATGGTGGCACCCGGGTGCGGGCTGCACCCCCCACACCCACCTTGTGACGCCACTGCACAACACTAAGGTGTGAATGGGCAACATTGAAAAGAATTGGGATTGTTCACGTTGAGTTGTCGTGCTTTAGGAAACACACAACAAAAGGCTCAGCTGGGAATGAAGCCCAGTCTGCTTTCACTTACCCTCAATAAAAAAACACGCCAGAAAATGCATGAAAAACGTTGTACAAATGCGCTTAAAACTAACGGAGAAGCCGATGCTCCAATGTGAACCTAGCCTGATGTGTGGATACAGATTTTGTATTTATTCATGCATGGATTGGGCAAATGAAGTCATGCTTGTTAATGCTTTTGTGACCTGAAGCAATTTTGTTGTTGAATTAATTTAAAGGAAAAACTGTACTAAAGTTTTTGCAAAGTTGCAATTGAAGATTTTTTTTTATCAGTATCATTTTGCATAGCACTGTGACAGTTCTTTTTAAAGTGACCCTGTCAGTACCCCAAGCCCACCTGATAATACTTACATTTCTGGCAGCCCATGTCTTGAAACGCCACCGTTTTGCTGCTCCCTGGCTGCAGCAAGTACTCCACAGTTCCAGGCGTGTAGAATACCTGCTCCCCCATTGCATGCTGTGATTCCTACCGCTAATGCATACATCACTAAAGCACATACTGTACAACCTGGTGAGAAGAACCACTGCGTTCAGCAGGGGACACAGTTATTTAACCAAATCAACAGGTTGAAAATCTGTGGCTGCTGGGTAGTTGCGAAGCAGCAGCGTTTCATGACACAGTCCGCCGGAAATGTAAGCTTCTTGTATCCGGTGGGCTTTTGCTGTACAATGAATCTTTGCAGTCAGGGACATTTTAACACCACTTTGTTATATTATGTAC